CTTGCAGCACTCGCAGCCTAGAAACGAGCTTGATCCAGTGTCCAGTAGCGAAAGAAAGGGGGGGCAAGGTGCATCTTTTTTTTTTTTTTTTTGCCATTATAGTTTACAGAACACCACGCAACAGCTAGCTGTTCATCACTGATCAGGTCTGCCTCATTATCAACAATTGCGTGTGATACCAAGTTTGAGCGCAGCTCGCCCAATTGTGATTGGTCAACAGATTGCACATGCTTCAAAGATTTTCTATCTCAGTCTTGTACCTTTGCCTTCGAAAACCATCCTTGCTCCACAGCATTGCTTTAAAGGGACACTGACAGGGTATTTATGCTCGCCGAGGTTTTTAGTTGTACGTGACATATGAGAGCTCAACTACCCAGAACAGAATTTACGGCTCGAAATTCGGTTTCTTTCCGCCCGAAAACCGCCGATCAAGAACTGGCCGGTTCGAGTCTCGCTCACTCTCTTTTCCGCGGTCACGGGCCGTTTTCTAAGGTATCGATGCGACCACCAAATTTAATCAAAGTCGTGGGTCACTGAAGGCACACACTCAATATTAAAAATAGAAAAAAATATGAAACCCATTTTTTGTGGCTTCTAAAAAGCTGCAAATACGTTGATTGAAAAAAAAAGTTCCACAGACAACCGGAAGCAATCTGTGCGTGCGTCGTTTCGCGTATCGTGGGACTCGGAGGGACGGCGATGGCAGCGGACGACGGGCGTGGGACCTCTATTTCAGAACTGTCGTTCGCGGTATCGGCGAATTTTGTCTGCCTTTAAAAGAGAAATTTGGGACTGATCAAAAGAACTGGTATTCATCCCGTACGACACGCCCGATCACCAAGCCGATTTGCACGAAGACGTCGCCGAGCCGTCGCTCCCTTCTCGTGGCTGAAGACATCGCTCGCGCAAACGTCAAGCACGACGTGTCTACTTCGAGTTGAGTATGCACGCGTACGATTTCTTTACTACGTGAGAATATCGCCAATGCGCGGTGCATCCCGACTTCGACCCGGGAGTGCTTTTGCTAGAGGAAAATCGGCAGCAAACTTTCCAACTTACAGTTTATCGGCTGAATGATTACTAAGGAAAGAGATTCCCCAATTTAGGTATGCCCCAGTAGCTCAGTGGGAAGGACGTACGCTTCACACGCAGTAAGACCGGGTTCGATCCCCCGTGAAACCTTTTTTTTTTTCTTTTTTAAAAATATTTTTTGATGTCTACATTTCTTTTTCTTTTTAAACAATTATCACTGAAGAAACAAAAAATAAGAAACAAATGTTGTGGACGACACGTCGCTGAATTAAATGGTACGGGATTTCCTTTTTGACACCTGCGAACTCAATGTAATCACTTTCCACAAAATGCAAGGAGCTTATAAATCAGGTAGCGTCCGCTTTCCGAGGTGCCCGTAAATGGTCTACAGGAATTGCAGCCAGCCATTGGTCCCGATCCCTTTGATCTTTCGGACACTCTGTCGCACAATGCCACTTCTGTTTTGGACGCGGGGCATGTGAGCCAGCTCTTCACGCAACATCTTGGGTGTATTCTTTTCGGAGCCGATCAAAATTCACCACGGGCACTCACTACTCATCTCCAACTCTTCAATGTACAAAACAACTCATCTTGGAGTACAGAACAACGAGCGGAACATACATAACTGCAAAATAATCGCTCGGTGAACAGTTCCGGTACGCCGCATGTCGTCTGCTACGGGAAGGAGGAAAAAAAAAAAACAAACACGGTCGCGTGTAGCCACGTGACTTCCGCCACTCACTCTCTTCTCTCCACTTCTCCGACCTCCGTCGGGTTTCGGTTTCGGTTTCGCGCAGTTGCGTCTTTTGGCTTTATCAAAAAAATACGCTACTCTGTTGCAAAATATTAATTGGGTAGTCCTCCGACACCATAATGAAGCGCCTGGCAAAAAATTAAAAAAAAATTTTGGGGGGTGTCAGTGTCCCTAGGGACACTGACAGGGTATTTATGCTCGCCGAGGTTTTTAGTTGTACGTGACATATGAGAGCTCAACTACCCAGAACAGAATTTGCGGCTCGAAATTCGGTTTCTTTCCGCCCGAAAACCGCCGATCAAGAACTGGCCGGTTCGAGTCTCGCTCACTCTCTTTCTCGCGGTCACGGGCCGTTTTCTAAGGTATCGATGCGACCACCAAATTTAATCAAAGTCGTGGGTCACTGAAAGCACACACTCAATATTAAAAATAGAAAAGAATATGAAACCCATTTTTTGTGGCTTCTAAAAAGCTGCAAATACGTTGATTGAAAAAAAAGTTCCACAGACAACCGGAAGCATTCTGTGCGTGCGTCGTTTCGCGTATCGTGGGACTCGCAGGGACGGCGATGGCAGCGGACGACGAGCGTGGGACCTCTATTTCAGAACTGTCGTTCGCGGTACCGGCGAATTTTGTCTGCCTTTAAAAGAGAAATTTGGGACTGGTCAAAAGAATTAGTATTCATCCCGTACGACACGCCCGACCACCAAGCCGATTTGCACGAAGACGTCGCCGAGCCGTCGCTCCCTTCTTGTGGCTGAAGACATCGCTCGCGCAAACGTCAAGCGCGACGTGTATACTTCGACTTGAATATGCACGCGTACGATTTCTTTACTAGGTGAGAATGTCGCCAATGCGTGGTGCATCCCGACTTCGACCCGGGAGTGCTTTTGCTAGAGGAAAATCGGCAGCAAACTTTCCCACTTACAGTTTATCGGCTGAATTATTACTAAGAAAAGAGATACCCCACTTTCGACGTGCCCCAGTAGCGCAGTGGGGAAGACGTCCCCATGACACGCGGTAGGACCGGGTTCGATCCCCCGTCAAACTTTTTTTTTTTTTTTTTTTCAAATATTCTCTGATGTCTACATTTCTTTTTTTTTTTTTTTACAATTATTACTGAAGAAACAAAAAAACAATATAAGAAACAAATGCTGTGGACGACACGTCGCTGAATTAAATGGTATGAGATTTCCTTTTTGACACCTGCGAACTCAATGTAATCACTTTCCACAAAATGCAAGGAGCATATAAATCAGGTAGCGTCCGCTTTCCGAGGTGCCCGTAAATGGTCTACAGGAATTGCAGCCAGCCATTGGTACCGATCCCGTTGATCTTTCGGAAACTCTGTCGCACAATGCCACTTCTGTTTCGGGCGCGGGACATGTGAGCCAGCTCTTCACGCAACATCTTGGGTGTATTATTTTCGGAGCCGATCAAAATCCACCACGGGCACTCACTACTCATCTCCAACTCCTCAATGTACAAAACAACTCATCTTGGAGTACAGAACAACGAGCGGAACATACATAACTGCAAAAGAATCCCACGGCGACCAGTTCCCATACGCCGCATGTCGTCTGCTACCGGGAAGGAGAAAAAAAAAAAAAAAAACACACACGGTCGGGTGTAGCCACGTGACTTCCGCCACACACTCTCTTCTCTCCACTTCTCTGATCTCCGTCGGGTTTCGGTTTCGATTTCGAGCAGTTGCGTCTTTTGGCTTTATTAAAAAAATACGCTACTCTGTTGCAAAATATTGATTGGGTAGTCCTCCGACACCATAATGAAGCGCCTGGCAAAAAATTTAAAAAAAATTTTGGGGGGTGTCAGTGTCCCTTTAAGCAAGTCCGCATAAACATCGGGGGAGGGGGCCGCGGTTGGAGTTGCAAGCTGATGAGTCACTTCAGATGAACCATGATTCCACCAACCTTCGTGGACCCCACCTTTGTTCACACGCCAGAGTGGACGCATTCTCAAAGTCGAAACTGTGACCCGTATTCCAACAATGGTCTACGAGTTCCGTCTTCGCTGTGTTTGTTTAGGCGAGTGCAGCGCTTCCAGCCTGTCTCCCCAATGTAGGATGTGTCACAGTCTAGACAGTTCACTTTATACACAACACCACACTGGGACTCTGGGGGGGTGTAATCTTTAGGTTTAGAAATGAAGTCACATAGTTTATGGTGGGGTTTGAAAGCTGTGCGGATATTCAAAGGGGCGAGGGCCCTGCGAATGGACTCAAAAGCACCTCTCAAATAGGGTATTGTTGCTTGCCCTGTCCTAAGTTGTCCATTATCCTGACTTCATTGTCCCATCTGTTTGTGCGTGTTATTAATAAGACATTTCGGATAATTCCGCTTCATCAGCAGGTCAACAATAACAGCATCCTCAGAAGCGCACAAGCCGCCTCGGTGGCTCCGAGGCGAGAGCGCTGGCCTACGGATCCCCATGTGGCGGAGGCTTACTGCGGAGCAGGCGCCGTGTAACCGAGCTTTCGGTTGCACGTCAAAAGATCCCCAGGTAGTCTAAATTAATCCTCAGTCCTCCGCTGGGGCGTGCCAGATGCCCGTCGTTGGTTTAGCACATAAATCCCCCAAATTTGACTTTTTTCTCAGAAGCGCGCAATTGAGGATTAGATGAAATGCGTTCGGACCGGTGTAGTAGGTTTTTTACGACAGCCCTTTTATGTTCGACAGAATGATACGAGTTAAAGCTTAAAAGGTTGCCTGTATCACAGCTTTGCGGTACACTGTTGTATATAAGCGACCGGCACTATTTCGGAACACATTAACATACAGAAAAGGCTTTGCACCGTTCTGTTCAACTTCATGTGTGAATTGGGTTGATGATTCAATGCTGTTTAAAGCTAAATGAAAGTCACAAAAGGGACATGGCAAAGGCCACGCATGCGACAAGAGCGAAGACGGAACTCATAGACCATTGTTGGAATACGGGACACAGTTTCGACTTTGAGAATGCGTCCACTCTGGCGCGTGAACAAAGGTGGGGTCCAAGCAGGTTCGTAGAATCATGGTTCATCCGAAATGACTCATCAGCTTGTAACTCCAGCTGCGGCCCCCTCCTCAATGTGTATGCGGACTTGCTTAAATAGGACTGTTGAAGTTTCTTTCGCTCATTCCTGCTTCAAGGTTTCACCGACGATGTTTCCCACATGGGAGACGAAACGTTTGATTAAATTGTTAATCTTGTTGAGTAAAGTCGGTGCAGTTTTTTTATCATTATGATTCCCGGCTTTTGGAATATTTTTGCAGCACATTTAATGAAGAAATGGATGCCGATAAACACCTGGCAAGGTTGACTAAAAATAAACAGAAACATCCAATCAATAGTTATGATTGCACTAAGCGGTTGCTATGTGGATGTTTTTTTATGTTCGACAGCTCAGCAAAGTCTGCGGATCTGGTTATGCTTCCTGTACGAGACAGATCACGAAGCGGTTGCTGACTGACCAGTTGGGGCGAAAATTTTTGTGGGAAGGACGTAAGAGAAAGTTGACATTCAGGAACCTTCACCTTGCTGAGTGCATCATAAGTAAGTAATCTCTGGAACAGTAGTGCAGATCGCTTCACATGGAACCAGATTTATGGAATTGTTGGTGTCATACCTCTGTCGCTTTCTTTTATCAGATGCAGTGCAGAGCTGCCATAAATGTGAAGACTTCAAGGTAGAAACCATGGTCACGGATTAACTTCGCCACACACCTGCCTGACATCAGTCATCTCAAATGGTAAGCTGGTCTTATTAAGCTGATGTTAGCACAAAAATCAAACTTTTCTAGATCAGTAAGTATGGTGTGCAATTTCTTCAAAGCATAATTTCTATATGAGAGTATTTGAATGCTTTAAATATTAAAGCCAGTGCCACCTTTTTTGGTTTAATTTGAGAGCAAATACTACAGGTGTGAACAGTATTGAATAATTTTAAATAAAAAAAAATTTTGTTTGGAGTGTTTCTCTAAGAGGAAAAATTTCATTATGTAATAGTACCTTATTATGGATTAAAAAGAATGCATAGACAGCGAATTTTAAGAACACTGATATTTGATGTAAATCTAACAAACAAAAGTTTGCAATACAGTACACACATCCAGCATGAATGTGCTTTAAAAACAAGGCATAAAATACTTGATTTATTTACATCAGTTCCAATTCTTGCATATTTGAGTCACTTCACTTTGAAATTCACTGTTTTATTAGTTTTGTTTCAAAGAATGGTAAACCACTGCTCACATATCTTTAACGTAACATTTTTTCGTTGCTTTTCAGGAACATTCTGCACCACAGGAGAGAGAGATGTGAACTGCCTTAAGTGGGCCTTGAATGCGCTGAGCTTTTTATTATGTTTATCAGACATTTTTTTTAAGCAAAGTATCCTGCATTGTTCAGTAAGTATACTTTATTTTGAAAACCTCATGCTGTCTATGCAGCATTGTTCAAAAATGATACTTTATTTTAAAAGCATCAAGCACTGCTCGTCTGTCTAACAGTAACAATAAAGAGTTAATGGCGATTTGTTTGGCACTGCAACTTTTTCTACAGAACGGATGTGTATGCCTGACAGGCTGGGCAGGAATTTAGTGCGCTACTCACGTTCAAAGTTACGCCGCAAGACTGCAGCGGCATCTTTTGCCATGCAGTCGGTGCTACAGCTCTCATGGAATTCTGGTGTCCTCGTCACTAGAGCATATGACTACTGAAGCCTTAGACTTCAGTAGTCAATTCCTCAGGGCCGTTCGTCATAGCTTATGAAAATGTTTGTGTCCAGTATTTCAGTTCTCTCGCATGTGGCGAGGTCCACCTCACTAAAACGAGTCAGCATCAGTAGTGTCGCCTTCCTTGTCAGTGTCGTCTGCATTGATCCTGTGGTAAAGCTTCTGAGCTTGATGGTGAAACAAAAACTTCAATATAAAGAATGTCTGCTGCGGGCCTGATTGCTACATTATACGTCTGTAATGCGCCATTTGGGTATACATTGAGAGCATGCACGGGCCATACAGCAAATCTGCCCTCTGAGCTCTTGTTTTGTAAAGAATTGGACTCTCATCCGGCTGTTTAAATTTTTCTGTAGGACAGTCTACACGCTATATGCTAGCATAAAATGAAGGCTGCTTAGGCACTTCCTTGCTCTCCTGGCATAGGGCTGGTCCCTATACCAGGAAAGGTAATATTTCTGAGGTATGTACATGGTACATCCACAGGATCAGGCTGAACATCCTACAATGGTCCTGAATGTCCAGCTGCATCAACCAGATTGCGTTAGTGGTACGTTTTCTGGGGAACCATTTTGCACTGCACAGTAGATACTTTCAATGTTGGATGAATCGTAGCAGATATCCACTGGATATGTTAAATGTCCGAACAACACATCTCTCGGATGTTTAATAGACGGTAGCTGGTTGACTGGGTACCATCAAACCAATGTGCACCGGGGCACCTGTTGTCAATTACCGCTCATTGGTTTTCGCCCCCTAAGCGCCATCAAACCAATGTGCACAGGGGTGCCTGTCGTCAATTGCCGCTTATTGGTTTTCGCCCCATAAATACCATCAATCCAATGTGCACAGGGGGGCCTGTTGCCAATAGCCGCTCATTAGTTTTTGTCCCATAAATACCATCAACCCAATGTGCACAGGAGCACCTGTTGCCAATTGCTGCTCATTGGTTTTTGCCCCATAAATACCCTCAATGCAATGTGCACTGGGGTACCTGTTGCCAATTGCTGCTCATTGGTTTTTGTTTCATAAATGCAATCGGCCCAATGTGAATTCCCTAAAGGATTACCAATTCAGCCCAATGTGAATTCCCTGAAGGATTACCAATTGGTGCACATAGGTTTTTGTTTCATAAATGCATATTGCTCAATGTGTCTGGACCTACAGTTGCACATTGGTTCAATGTGAATTTTGGCCTCATTTCACATCGCCCATTTCCAGCAGGGTATATAGACAACTCGCAGCACTTGCTCTTCAAATATAGTGTAGTTCCTGGTAAGGGACATTACTACAGTCTTTTTTGGATTCAGTTGAAGCTTATTTTTTAGGCACCAATGTTCAACGGAGCGAATGTCATTTTGTATCTAATACAGTAATTCACATCGTCAACCACATGGAAAAGTTTAAAGCCATCGGCGAACATTATTAGCACTTTCAAGTTTTTGATGGAAGATGGTACATCGTTAGCAAATCAAAAACAGGAGTGGTCCAAGGTTAGAACCTTGTGGTACGCCAGGTAAAGATGCAAATGTCTCCGACACACAATTAAAAAATCTAACATATAATTTTGGCGATTTGAAAGATAACTTTCAAACTATGCGCAATGCAAGGTGCATAGTCCGTATTCTTTTAATTTCAACAAGAGTATCTGGTGGTTAACCTTATCGAAAGCCTTGGTCATGTCAAAGTAGACTGTGTCCACCTGACCAAGGTTGCATATACTACAAGACCACTATGACCGAGGAAAGTCGTCTCCACTGATCTGCCCCTGAGGAATCCGTGTTGCAAAGGTGAAATTTTTTGTTTAAAATATGAGTACAAGCGTTCATACACCACCATCTCAAAAACCTTTGAGAAGCCACAAAGAAGAGACAGAGGGCGAAAATTACTGACATTATAAGGATTTAATTCCTGACTTGAAGACTGGTATTACGACTGAAACTTTCCACCGAGAAGGATAAACCTTATACTCTAAGGACAGATTAAATATATGTGTCAGGATATATGTATAAATATTTCAGCACATCCTTTGATAATAAAATTAGGAATGTCATCACAGTCAGTTCAAAGTTTTGGTTTGAGCTTCCGTATCAAGCACATTACCTCATCCTCGGTTACACTGTGGTATGCTAAGAAGTCGGCAAAACCCTAAATTTGAAATCATCAGGCATACTGTCACGTTCCGAAAAGCAAGAGCTAAAGTGATTAGCAAATGCTTGGCCCACTCCTTGTGGCTTGCATGAAATCTTATTTTTAACACAGAAGCACTGACACTATCCTTACTCTGGGCCCCAGCATAATTCCAAAAGCAACTTGGTTCTTTTTTAAAATTGTTTTTCAAACAGCTGTGATAACGAGCTTCATCTCGAGAGTAAAGCTTCTTAACTATTGCTCTGCAGACTAAAAACCTCCGATACCAATCTTCACAATTTGACTTTTTATAGAGTTTGTGGTAATACTACTTTTTACACATAATATTTCAGGACAGATGAAAACCATTTAGGAAATTTTGATTTCCTTGGACACTGTTTAGGTATGAATTCTTCTATAGCCCGCTGGACAGTTGATGTTACCGATTCGACACAAGAATTTACGGATGCTGCTAGCTGCAGTCCGCGGGGTGAAAGAGGTAAGACCAATCATAGCCACAAGACGATTGTATAGGCCGAAAGAATCGCCACGTGTATCGATAAACTTGGGTAGTGGCTGCTCACGTAGTATTTGAAATGATAAAAAGAAACAGTGTAAACGGAGGGTGAAATAACCGACTGAGACAAGCGTCTCGCGTGTCGAAGACGGGTACATTCGATATGATCAAATCTAAAACATTTCCAGCATAGTTTCTTATCGTATTGTGCTGACGCAACCCGTTCAAATAGATAAAAGTGGTTAGGCACTGCACTTTATCTCGTACTACAGCGCAGTCACTCTGGGCAAAGCCGGTTAACCAGTGTTCGGAGATTTTTGTGTTTGTCCTTTGTGCCCCTTGTTCCCCTTATCCGGGATTTATTTTCGTCATTGTTTCGTTATTCGTCGCGTTTGATATGTAGCTACGACAACAAAAGGGTACTTACTGCATCGCGCGTAACTGTGGAGTAATTCATGACGACCTGCTCTATAGCGGTGCGGGGACGATAGCAGACGACAGATGCACGACCTGGTGAAAACGAAACCGAAACCTAATACGACAGGGACGGCTGCCTCCCCTCCAAACAGTCGACACCCCCCTCCCTGCCCCCTTCTCGGAGGGCGATTGGACATGGGTGGATACCCCGAAATAAAACCAACTACCGGCCTGCCAGGTGGTAGGAGGCTCGGTACTCAAGGACGAGGGTTCGAAATAGGGTAGGTCGCACCCTAGCAGGCACACTTGTACTCTGAACTTGGAGAACCACTCCGTCGCTTCAACCGAGACTGAAGTCCGCGGCGGCGGTTTCAAAGCACGGCTTAGAACCAAGTCGGCGCAGCGGCGCACATCTAGGGGCCGTCGGCGCAGTGTCGTTCTGCGGCGGTTAAAACAAAAGGCGCAACCCGAGTCCTGTTTTTCTTGCTTTAGATTTTTCCTCCCCCCACCCCCCCCCCCCCCCCCCCCCAAAAAAAAAAAGACGAAAAAAACAAAACAAAAAACAACAGAGTTTTGGATTCGCCCCTGGGTCAACCGGTAGTCATCCGTGAACGTTCCAGCTCATCGCCATAAGCTGGAACGTTCAATTACAACTACACGGACCACCGAATCAAATGCACTGTTATCGTAAATATTGGCTTGTGATTGCGCCTTTGTAGATCATCTTATTCGTTTTGCTGGAGACGCAACCGACGGGCATAACAAAATCGTTTGCGTATTCCGCATACCTCGCAAAAGCACTTACCCAGTCACCTTGCGAAAAGCGCAAAACACGGAGTCCGCACCGCCCTGACTAACCAGTCTTTTACCTGCTTTAGAGCAGTTTGTACTGCTAGTAGGTATGTCTACTGAAACTGCAACTTGAAACTAGGGGCAATGCCAGAGAGAAAAGAGACAAAGTTGGGAAAGCATGCTCGCCCTCTCCAATTTCTGAACTCTCAAGTGATTGTACCATAATAAATTCCCCAACACCTCTTTCCAAAATGAAAAAACGCTATGTTCACTACGTAAAAAATGGTCTCAGTTCATGCATCCGCAGGCAGGTAGGAAACGTTGCCCTAATTTATTCACACCACATGATGAGCGCAACAAACTCACACGAGATTTACAAGAAAATATCGGTGGTGACTTAAGTTTCCCTGAAATTCTGTATGACCGATCGTTTGCAGGACCGAATCATCTACTCGGGCGGTGTGCGTCGCTGTGCAAACGCCAACACGAAACATAAAAACGGCAGGTCTAGGACAACAATCCGGAGTCCATTGTTCAATTAAAATGACGTAATTTTGTTGAAAACGCTCACAGCTTTTTACTTATGGTATGCGTCGAGACTCTTCCACATTCTGAAACCGAACGAAGGAAGATTTACTCTTAAAAACGCTCGCTGCGTCCTCCCGGACCAGCTGGACCAGATCAGCTGACAACGACGGGACTGAACCCGTTGAATTTCAACCCCACAATAACCAATTTGAGCTTCGCGTTAGTATGGG